TGTGGATTCGACAACAAAGGTATAGAACAAAAATTCAAAATATTGGAAAGACAGAAAAATCCATACGAATCGATAAATCAAATATTTAACCACTTGCCAACATGTTAAAATAAATGCTTTTTTTTATTTTATACTTTCATCCAAATGACACTCACTACATTTTGATTTATTTGATATCAAAATAAAAATTTTATGAGGATTTTTATATTCTACTTGAAAAATTTGAAATTTCATCGCGATATCCGATATTGAACCAGTTTTAGGTAAACTGGTAAATAATTATGTTGGTAAAGTATATCTTTCTATCAAAAAATTTCAGATTTATATAGGAAAAATGAGCCGAAAATATAGAATGCTTACAAGAATTGCAAATGGGCTAAAATTCACAGAAAAGTACATTTTGTACACGCAACAGTACATTTGTTTTGGTAACATTTGGAAATGAATTTTGTATGTTACTTGACAGCTATTAAAAATGATATAAAAAATTATTATAAAGAAATTAATGCAATAATTTTATGTACATATACACGAAAATATTTCCTTTTTTTTTGGGTTCAAGAAGATTAAAAATTTTGAATGCAAATTTATTTAAAAAATTGTATGCGACCGTAAGATGCAATAAGATTAGTACAATTTGTTACTAAACACTGAATTTCATTGGAAATGATATCACATTGAAAATATGTATTTTTTCTGCATTGCCGCGATACGGAAAAGTGAATTTCAGTTGAACACAAAATTACATACTTTTGTGAAACTAAATGTGAAAATAATACTTTCGGATATTTTCGGAAAACCTGTTTTTTGAATAAGACTTAATGTATCTACTCTGAGTGTTTTGCTTAGTTCTTGATATAGAATATGGAAATATTTTGTGAATTAAAATTAGGGAATTTATTTAAAAATTTGGAATCGATAAATTTAAAAAAAAAAATATTCATATTGAGAGACTTTACACTTAAAACCCTTTTAGTTTGGCTAAAAATTTTGAACCAAAAATAGAATCGAAACTGAAAACCAAAATCAAACAAGAAGTTCTTCCTCAAAACTCCATCATGTAAAAAAAAGTGTACGGAACAGTGAATGTCAAAAAAAAGGTACAAATTATCCTTTCGAATCAACAAATAAGGGAATTTTAATTTTTATACCCATACGAATGTATATTCGAAGGGTATTAGAAATTTGCCTTACCGTTCGTAACACTGCTGTCTGAGACATAGGCGCAAGTATATGTTTTTGATCAGTGCCGAATTCTGAGTCAATATAACCATTTCTGTTCATCTGTGAAAAAGACTCAAAAACTAATTGAGCTAAGCTCAGCAAATTTCCACAAATGATTTATAAAAGAAATTGCCGGTACCCTTTTTAAATCGGATGTGATCAAGACAGTGGTTTATGTAGCTGCACTACAACTTCAAAACTTACTCGGTTATATCTTAGAAAATATTCAAGCTATAATATAGAAATTTCGCGCAAACAAGTATGTTATTGAGGCTATTATATGTAATAAAAATCGTTGACATACAAATATCAGTAGTTGTTAGTTCATATTTTATAAACTATTAAAATTATAGTATTGAAATTTTGCAAAAATTAATATGGTAACACGATAACTATTGTTTCCGTATGCTAAAGTGTGTTGGAAGGGTATTATAAATTTGCCAAGAGAATAACGGCATAGAAAAATAAGTAATTGGATTACTTATTTCTCTATGATAACGGACATCACATAGTTGACATGATCAACTCTATTTTTTCTTATTAAACACAAAATTATAATATTTCAGTAAATTTTCTTCAACTCGAATAAGGCAAACTTTTATAACAAAAAAATCAAATTCAAAACAAAAAAGAAAAAAAAAACTAATACAGAAATTCTTTAAAGATTTGTCCGTGTGAACATTTTGTCCATGAATAAAAAAAAAATATCTAAATATTTTAAGATACAGCAACAATGTTCCTCTAACCATTTGTACCTATATCAAAAATTTAATGTTGCCCTCTTTATGAAATACGGCAGCATGCGCATTATAAAATAGAGAGTTTATACCAAAAAAAATTCAAATTTTAAAAAGATTTACTAATTTAATAAATTTTGACTTGTTGTGTTATGTTTTTATAGAAATCCTTGCTATGCCATATACATAGGTATATGCACATGCAAAAAAAAAAATAAACAGAGTGACAAAGGATATTTGCACTCTTTTTAGAACAAGGATACAAATTATATTAAAATATTAGTAAATACGCTTCATCATATTCTCAGTTATGTAAGTGTATTGCAAAGTTATATATAAGGGACATACCTCATATTTATATGTGTGTGTAGATATTACTCTCGTATAAATATTATTTCAAAAAGATCAGGAAGAAAGCAAATAACGTCCATTGAGGCATTAAAATTATTATACAGAAAATTTTAATGGATTTTAGTTTCTCTTTTCGGATAATATTTGTGGTTTTATTTACACATTTTTATATATACACATGTATAAAAAAATGTTTTCATGTGTACCTGAAAAAATATATATAGATTAGATACACAAAGTATATATTGTATAAGCGTGTAATGTAACCATGTATTTTTTGTTTTCGCTTAATATCCCTATCTACTCTTTCTTTCCAAAAATTTACTTTACTACACTATTTCCTTCGTGCTCACTTCACTTTTGAAAATTCTCATTCTGCAATCCATTTGTATTTTTATTTATTATTCACTCACATTGTTTTCTTTTCCATTTGTTGTAATTTAGTGTAAAATTTTATATAACACATATGCATTTGTATATTTGTGTGTGTATATGTATTTGAACCTATATTTTAAAGTCAAGAATTTTTGTTGCTATCCAATTATTTTTAGCGTTTTTATTTGAAAAATGAGAAAACACACGCAAAAAAAATTTTTTTTCGATTTCTAACGAAAAATTAAAACCAAAAATTAAAATCATGGTGTGAAGAAAGGATATTGAAAGGATTTCATTTCTAATTATATAAATGTTGAAATGTATGTGTTTGTATTACGAGTACACATACTTTTTATAACAATTAGTTGCTGTTTTTTTTCTTTCATGCTTGTTTTTAAATGAAATTTTATTTTTTCTCATTTTTTTTTTTTTTTGAGAACAAGGAGAAAGCGTTTCAATCCTTTTACAGCCAAATAAATGTAGATACAGATGTATGTATAAATTTGATATTGAGATATTTTCTTTGAATTATAAATGTATGCTTAATTCTTGTTCTGTATTTCTCTTGTTGTTTTTAATAAATTCACAAATGTATATTTGTAGTTTACCACAGATTGTCGTATAACTACAAAGCCGAAAAAATATTATACAGATTAAAAATGGATATCGGTTTCATAGTGTTAAGTGATAGTTTATAAAATGAAAAAAAAAAGAAATATAAATAAAAACAATTATCTTGCTATATAAGCAAAATTTATTATAAAATAAGATCTTTTAGCAATTAAATAATACAAAAATGAGAGACGAACATTCAGTTAAAAATTGAGAACGAAATTAGTAACAGGAGTTATAAATTGTTTAAGTGTTATAGAGAACACACTTGAACTAAATTACTTATATTCGAATTTTTGAAATAATTTCAAGAAAAAACAATTTAATTAGTTAATTTTTGTATTTAAGTCTAAAAATTAAGTGGTTTATACATTTATTTTATTTATATATTTTTATAACGAATTGAAAAATTTTAAGATCCTACCTAGTTACAGTCACAATTACTAAATATTAGTAAATTTAGTATAATTCGGATAATATTCGAAGATTAAGTTAAATAGAGAAAAACGCTCTAAAAAATTAACATATGTACTTAATTATTGTTTTGAAAACATACCATTATTTCGAAAATGAGGTTGTTCAAAAATATTTCGATAAGTAATGATAAGAAACTTTTTAAAAACTAGCAAACAAAAATCAATTTCAAAATATTACTTAACCTAAAATCTATCTATGTACTTAGAATTTTAGAAATACATATTAGAATGTTTAAAATTTCTTTTAAATATATTACATACATATACCACGTAAAACCACAGCAAAATTAACTAAAATGAGAATGAAGAAATGAAATGAAAATGGAATGAAATGGAATAAAATGAAATGAAATGAGGGAGTCAATTTAACCCTTTGCGGAATTTTAAATTGTCTTACAAACGTACCTACCCTACTTATAGATACTCATATATTTTACATAAGCGTATGTTTGAATTCATAGTGGAAGGTTTATCTATAGCATTTACAACTTCATATTTTCAAGAAAATTTCGTTTCATATCATTTTGTTTCCAAGGAGTCTTAAATGTAAGTTTTTTTTATAACCCTCGGGAATATTATTACAGTAGTGATGTTGACCTTTTGTTAATGTAATGTAGCTACTATATAATCATTACTATGATGATATGACGATTTTCATGTGGATTACCATGATGGACTTTCAATTACAATAGCGGAATCAAATACAGGGATCTTGTTGAATAATAAAATACTTGTAAGTATTGGTTTATATGGAAGGAGTAACTAAAGGATAAAGATCTAATTGCTTTGTATACAAACGAAACATATTAGAATGTATGCATTAAAATAAAATATGTACCTATTCACGAATTTTTTATTATAATGTGTGAAATTAATCGTAAGAGAATAAAAATTTTGTTTGTTGCTTTCTTTTTGGAATTGATTTTAATTAAAAATTAATAAAAAATAAATTAATTAAATTAATGTAAATTCCGTTTTTGTTTCTTGAAATTTACAAACCATTTCTAATTTTGTAAATTAAATCTATTATAACGCAAGATTCACAGTTATGAATATTACAACTATCAAAATAATTGTCTTGTTAAATTTCAAATAACAGAAAGTGACATGAAAGAATTATCATCGAGACTTAAAAAGAAAACATCGAATTACCAAATTAAAGTCGTTACAAAATTTATTTAAGTAAAAAAAAACTTACTAAATTAACAACAAAAGTTTCACTAACCTGAATTCCATGTGCACCACTCTGCTGGCTAATATGTAATTGTTGAGTTTGTTTCATCTGGAGAGTAGTCGTTTGAGTATTAGCACCTGTTCCACCATTATTACCACCGCTATTACCAGTTTGATTATTGTTTTGCGCATTAGTACCCATATTTGCTCCAGCATTTGTTTGTTGTTGCTGCTGTTGTTGTGATTGTTGTTGCTGTTGTTGTGGCCCATTAGCACCACCTCTTTGAGCATTAGCTGCATTTTGTGCTGATTGTGACATTTGGGGTCCATTTGGACCGCCCATAATATTACCAGGTCCAAGTCCACCTGGATTTATACCGGGACCACCTCGACTAGTCATAAAAGGCGGACCACCCATATTTGGTCCACCATTGTTTCCTTGTGACATTGATGATCCGTAAGGCGGAAATTGTGATTGTGGATTTTGATTTTGTGCTGCAGCGGCAGCTGCTGCTGCAGCCGCTTGTTGTTGTTGTTGCTTACTAAGAAAAACAGTAGGCGGAATACCCATTTTTGAGCCATTTGGCATAGCGTTTGGACCCATCGGTCCAACGCCGAGAGGGACATTAGGACCATTAGGATTTTGTTGAGGTACACCTTGTTGTTGTTGTGTTGGTTGTTGTTGTTGTTGTGTTTGCTGCTGATGATGATGTTGCTGTGGATGTTGATGTTGTTGATGTTGTTGCATCGCTGCGGCAGTTGCTGCAACTTGTTGTTGTTGTTGCATACGTTTGAGATCAAATTCGTTTTGTGAGGAGTAAAAAAGCTCTTGCTTCATATCAACAAATGACTGTTGAGCACCCTTATGAAATTGTGGTGGTATCTGCTGCTGTGTTGGAATACCGCCACCTGAATTTGAGTTATTACCATTACCACCTTGTCCTTGGCCGCCCATTCCACCGTTTGGACCACCGTTTCCAGCAGATTGCATGAAATCATTCCCGAATGGACCAAAATCGTTGTACCTATTACCACCTGGGCCCCCGTGCATTTGATTTTGTTGGGGTGGTTGCATAGGTGGTCGAGGAAAGTTCATTCCACCCATTGTGTTTTTGTGCTGATGTTGTTCAGCCATATTTTTTAAAGTTTGAGCAGCTGGTAATTCAGGTAAATTGTTATTACCTGCATTTCCAGTGTTGGCAGGTGGTCCATTTGAAGAAAATTGATTCCGCATTTTATTTAAAGGACTTTCATTGACAAATGACGGATTGAATATTGGATTTTCACTTTTAACATTCAAACTATTTATCAGATCCTGTGCATTGGGCTCAATTTTAAGACCATCTTCAGTTTTAATATCAATAAGTGGTTTTTCTTCAAAACCGTCTAAGAATGCTGGGTTAAAATCTTGTAAATCCGATATCAAATCTTTGAATGTATCATTATCTTCATTTGAATCACCTCCCATAAGATCCGGAAAGCCGGGAAAATTACCGGTACCACCTCCATCCTTCTCTAATGCCGCAAGATCAGCAAAGTCATTGTCTGGCTCTTGCTTACATTCAACTAAGTTTCCTAAATTATTAAGTGTTTTATTTTGACCTAAACCTATGCCCCCGGTATTTTGACCAACACCTACCGGGCCGTTTTGTCCTCCAACATTTGGACCACCCATACCTCCCACAACACCACCTGGTACATTATTAACACCTGGATTATTAACCGGTGGCATACCACCGTTCATGTTTTGATTGACATTGTTATCATTGGGGTTTTGCGATTGTTGCTGTTGCTGATTGCCTTGAGACTGTTGTGAACCACCCTCACTCTTTACAGATGCATTTGTTAATGCTTTGACTGTAACATTTGTACTAATTTGTTGTGGTTGTGAATTAGCTGCCGATGTTGTGAACTCTAATTGTTGAACAATTTCAACTGAGAATTTAGTTAGATTTTCAGAATTAGCGTTAGCATTTGCTCCACCAAGATTTGCATTTGGACCACCAGCATTACCACCGTGATTATTTGGATTTTGTTGCTGTTGCTGCTGTTGTTGCTGTTGTTGAGTTGGATCATTTGGACCATTTCCATTATTGTGTAATTTAACCGGCGGCTCAAAGCTGTCTGGACCCTGATCAGTTTCGTCTATAGATCGTTTAAGGAATTTTTGTTGCTGGAATAAGAAAAAAACAAGGAAAGCTTTTATGAAATACAGTATTAAATATTTAAATATTAAAGATGTGAAAATATCGTTTTTAAACATTAATCTTGTTTGCATGTACAACACAAAATGGGTTAATTTTATCTAATATATAAGGAAAAATTTCAAAACTGAATGAGCAAATTTTGCAGTTCTCTGTTAAAATTCCTAAAAGTCAAATATTTACATGAGTAAATAAGTTTATATATGTATATACATATGTACATTCTATTAACAAACACATTGCCTCATTTCAATATAACGTATGTATTCCCATTTTTCAAAAACTAAATCAATCATTCCTTCATTTGTTAAAGATATTCATTGGTTCATTTGTTAGATCGTTCATTTATTTGATGTCCACCATCACTTAATTAATTATTATTTGTTTATACTTTGCAATTACATGTTGTTTGAGTTGCTTTTTGACTTTACTTTTAGTTAATTTATTTTACAAAAAAATGGGAAATTGCAGAACAACAAAACATTAGATGAAATTAATGAATTCAATACATTTTTAGGTCAAATTGCAAAGTGTTTTATGTTATAATTGATTTAATTTTATAAAAATGTAGAAAAAGTTGGAAAATAACCGAAATTGAAGCGCAGAAAATAGAAAAGTAACAGGAGTAGCAATTAGTTTTCGCACAACATATTGAAAATTGCATTTTTCACTGCTGCTGCTAACTTTTACTATTTCATAAATTTAATTATTTTTTGAATAATTTTTTTAAGTTTTATAAAATAGTTGTTTTTATAAATATGTATGTATGTAAATACTTCGTTAAAATAAAAAATCAATTTTTATTTTTTTTTTACTTTTCATATTCATTAAATATTTTAGTTTTCTCTTTCTCATTGGTCAAAACAATGCAACATTGTCAGCTTTTTGTAAAATTAAGTAAAAATATTTTAATTTGCGTTAAAAAGTTTAAAAACAAAGGTTTAACAATTAAATTTTTAAAATTTATATTGTCATTTTTACAGCTCAATTTCTATACGTTAATAGGAAATCAAAAATGTTCGTTCATTACTATTTCTTTTCTCTTTCTTTTTCTTTATCTATCTCTCTCTTTCTTTCTCTGTACGAATTTTCATTATTTTAATACATGACATTAAAATTGTTGTCTGTCCTGGACAAGCATGAAGAACGTGCAGTATTCAATTTTACAAAAGTTTAAAAAAAAAACAACTTCTCTTATTGAGAAAGGTCATATTGGTTATAATTGATGTAATTCATACAATTATTATAAATTAAATAAAATTTGTTCTTAAAAAATAATAAATCTCAATAGAGTTTAAACTCTTTACACGAAAATTATTTTTAAATTATAATAATTTTAAAAACATTCTATAAAATGTACATATTTTAAAAAAGGCTCACATATTATTATATTTTTTTGTATGCATATAAGTATGTAAAAGTTTTATACCACCAAAATGCGTTGCCAAATGAGAGCGTAAAAATATCAATGTCCAAGCCTTTTTTTGTGTATTGATTGACTTTACATTTATGTTTATATTTTTTATATACAAACATGAATGTGTGTGAAAAATATCTATAATATGGACTATATGAGTAAATATAAAATTTATATTGCCATTTATATGCTTGTGTGTATATATGTAATTTTCAATTTTCACTTAAAATTAAATAGAAAATTATTTTTGTTTTCGTTTAAAGTAAAGCGATAATGCGCAACAGATTTTTCTTTTGCGATTTTTTTAATTTTTAATTATAATTTTTTAGTTTTTCTGTCTGTTTTCTTTCTTAATAAAATTAAAGAAAAAAAAATGCTTTTTTCATGAAAACATTTTTGTTTCTTCATAATATTAAAAAAAAAGATTGTAATGGAGAAAATTTATTCAAATATTTTAAAAATTTTTACTTTCTGATACTTTTGTATGTATCAATGTTCAAACATGTAAGTATAAAAATTACAGGCGTTTATATTAAGAAAACATTTAAATAAAAATAAAAGAAGAAAAAAAATAAAACAAAAGAAAATGCTTTTAATAATTAATTAAGAGAAAACTTTCAAAGGAAAGTAGTGATAATTGCATAAAAGAAAAGCGTATTAAGTGGACAAGTTAAGAGTAAAATTTCAGTTTCAATAGATAAAAAGGAGAGAAAAACATTTGAATTTTCTTTAAAGTTCAATTAATTTAGAAAGCGATGGTTAAATAATCTTATTATAAATTAAAATTTTTAAATTACATTTTTTTTGTTTTTTTTGCTATTTTAATATATTCTTTGAACATTAAATGAAAAAGAAAGTGAGTTATAAATAAAATTTTATAAAGAAATTGATGGTAGTATAAAACTTTTCCGCCCATATACAGATTTCAAATAAAAAGAAATATGTTTCTTTACTAAATGAAAATTCGCACTTGGTTGCAAGGAAATTGCATATAATATAAATTTTGAAAAATGAAAGATTACCACTCGAATAAAAATTTTAAATTGTTGTAAAAATGTAAATTTTAGAAAAGAAATTAATTTAGATTTATTTAGGTCTATTGATTTGTGAATTATCGATTTATTTTTTTTTTCTTTAATTTACTTATATAAATTTTTCAAATGATCCCAAATGATTTGCAAACTAACATCTTACGTAACACATTACGTAAGTATCCTCTGAAGTTTTGTTATATAAACATATGAAATAATATATGTATATACATATTTGATGTTATCTACATACATAATATAAATAAGTATTATATAAATTACTTCTATTTATTTTTGAACATATTAAATTTTTGATCATGTTTTTATAATAGAAAGTTATCTCAAAACACAACTGTTCCCTAATACCGTAAAAATTCTAATTATAACTTTAAACAAACGAGTGTAATATTTCTATGATCATAGAACAGTTTGGATAAAGGCTTAGTTTTCAGCAGTTTTTTCTTCTTACAAACTATTTTTAAGAACCTCCTTGATGTCTCCCAAAGATTTATTAAAAAAGTATCTTTTGAGTATTTTTACCGAAATCTAATTTTTTGAATATTTTCTCGGTATTTAATGTAAGAAAAATTTTGTTCAACATAAAAATTTTTTGCTAATATATTTAGCAAAATACACATACATATCTGAATGTATTTGGTTTTGAAATGTCAAACATTTAAAGTTTTAGTTGATGTCTTGTTATAGCCATATAAAAACGTAATTATGCGGCTAAACGAGGATCTTTTATCTTTACAGGCGTCATTGTGTAAGAACAAATATTTTTCAATAGTATTCAGTATTTGGTTAATAAAAGGCATTAGACATAACGTTTCGAATACATTTATGGTTATTTTTCTTCAAAAGAACTAAAATGAACACTGCAATAGTGAAAACGGAATCTAATTGTAATTCGATAATTTAATGTAAAATAAAAATATTACAGTTCGAAATCATTAAAAAATGTCATTTTACATTTTATAATTTTCAAAAATATTAAGAGCGACTATAGATAATTAATTCGAAATTCACTCAAATATTTCCTGTTATAATAAATATAGAAATATTGAATCAAGCGAAACATTTTTTATTTTTGCCCGAAATTTCAATACAAAATACTTAAATTAAAAAAAAAATTATTTAATTCCTATTGCTCATTACACATTTTTGTTATACAATATTGAAATTATAAAATTTGATTGATTAAATATTCTTATGAATTATGAGATATTCTGAAGAAAAGCTCTTCTACAATATTAAAATAGGAAATGAATTATTATCGGTTTATTATTATAAACTTGAACATCTTTTCTTTTTTTTCTCTCTTTTTAGCATTAATTCTGTTATATTTTTCCATGAAATTCATATATCATTATTGATGACGCAAAAAGTATTGTGAATATTTATTCTATTTTTCAGTTCTATATTATTACACAAAATATTTCAATAGAAAAATAAAGGAATCAAAACAATCATTTTATTATAATAAGTACACAAATATGCTTATAGTTCTTATTGCGAATAAATAATTATTTATAGGATTTTAAAAAAATTTGGTTGCGCTTTAGAAACTATCTCTCTCTTATTTCTACCGATCGCATTGTGTATACGAGTACAATAGGTAGGATTGATGGCAACAAATTTTGAATATCGAGCTTTTGGTGGGAACGCACTTCTCAAGTTCTATGTGTGCCCGCGTGTGTCTCAAGTTCAGCTAAACCCATTTTGATGAAAATTTAAATGTAAGTTTATTTCGAATATAGCACGGATTGTTCAACTTTTGGAATATGTCAGGCTTCGGGAGCTGCACTTTTTAGCAGGTCTGTTTTACATTTTTGATCATTATGAAGAAAATATGCAACAGATTTACGTGAAATTTCATATATAAGCTTGGCTCAACTGTTCATGAAACCACTTAACTTTTTGAGGAAATCAGGCGTCAGCAACTGGAAGTTTACTACGGGCCAAATATACATTTCTGCGTATATAAAGAGAAATAATAAACCGATTTCATTGAAATTTAATATTCAAATTCTTCGTATTAAAACAATGAACATATAAATTTTTTGGAAAGATCAGAAAACTGATCTGCGGGCCGATTTTACATTTTTACCATATCTACGGAACGAATTAATGGAATTTCTTGAAATTTGATATTTAAATTTTGGTTGTTATTTATTAGGCATTTTTATAATATTCTGTAACGGTTTCATTTAACTAGATAATACACATTGCGGTCGGTTATTATTCGACTTTTTTTTAAGATGTGTATGTATATCTTTACATGTGAATGACGTAACAGAAGATGTAATTTTTAATCCAGCAACATAATCTCGTCATCGAAAATATTATGTGCAACAACAGTCAGCTAGAGCTGCACACATAAATTTCAAATATAAAACTGCATTTTAATTATTATCAATTTAATTCAATTTTTATGTCATTTAATATTTTTAATAAAAAATAGTATTGCAATTATTTTCTTTGTTCTAAAATTTAACCCTTTTTCACAAAATTTCAATTA